GATGTCGACACCGTGCTTTTACACGTCGGAACGTTCCATTTTTGTGTTTTTCACCTTTTTCGCCAACGCCAATGTATGGTCCAAATCAATTTCCACGGTGTGAAATCCAAAGGAGTCGCTAAAATGGCATCGCCCCAACGTATCTTTTGGTTTGTATGGCGACCGCAAATTAATATAGTCGAGTGACTTGCATTACACGCACCTTTGCACTTCAAGTGCAGTCGCCAATTTGCATCCTTCGAGACACATGGGCATCGCCAAATTCGTGTCCGAGTCCAAGCTCGGCATTGCGCTTCTCGTGCTCGTGCTCACGCGCTGCGTGGACCGCGTCTACAACACGTACGACAATATTGCCCTGTTTTCCACGCTGAATGGTGGTGTAGGCGCATCACGTATGAATTTGTCCAATTCCTGTGGTACTATTCCAACATTATCAACCCGATCGCATTCCTCTTTTTCGCGTGGCCCGTCGTGTGGTACAAGCTGCGCTACACAAGTACACTTTTGGTGTTCTGGGTGGCAGTATTGACATGCAAATTAGACGATATTTCGCCGGAAATGAAGGCGTTCCCACACTACAAGTTTGCGATCATGGCCTTTCTCGACATGTCGGCCAACCTCCTGTCGACTGTGCCGACGCCGCACATTGGCGGGAACCTCAGCAACGTGCTTGGCCAAGTCAACCTTCCGTTCACGATGATCCTCTCGCACCTCTTCCTCAAGACGTCGTACAAGAAGGCGCACATCATGGGCGCCACCATGGTGCTCTACGGCGCGCTCGTGTGTATGATTCCCATCTTCCGCGGCGAAGTGGCTTTGAACTCGCCCGACCCGAGCGTCGGCTGGATCCTCCTTTTCGTGTTTTCGTGCGTCCCCAACGCGGGTGCCAACGGTACCTCAATTGTCCATTTTCAACTTCAGATTCATTTTGAAATTCTTTGGTAGTGTACAAGGAAATTGGTCTCAAGGACGTCGACCTTGACGTGTGGTACGCCAACGCGTGGGTCAGCACGTACCAGCTCCTCTGGGGCGTCGCGACCATGTGGACGATCCGCGTACGTGGCGGGCTTTTTCGTGTTTTGTATCAAGTTGAAAAACTAGATCCAAGCCTTCTCCAACCCGACGGTCGAGTGGGCGGACTTCCCGAGCTACGTGGAAGCCGCGCACAACTGCTTCTTTGGCAACGAGGTCACGTTCAACGGCGTCACGTCAACGTGTGACGGCAGCATCTTTACCATTTACGTCCAGTACATCGTCTTCAACATTGCCTTCAACATGGTACAACGCCCCATATTCCGCTCCTTTTGTGACATGTTGGGATTGTGTCTAGTTGATGATGTACATCTTCAAGGAAGGCAGCAGCGTCCTCTTTGTCTTCTCGTCCGCGGTCTGCCTCCCGCTCACGGACCTTCTGTACATGGTGCCGTTGCTCGCGGGGCCCCGTGCGTCGCAGACGTTTACGATCTTTGATGGGTTTGCACTCTTCATCATTGTCGTACGGCTCCCTTCTTTGCGCGCCAAGAACATTAGAGCTCACTGCATATTAGATGGGCATGCTCGTGTACCATTCCGAGAAGGAAATTCGCGGCACGGGCAACGACCGCGTCACCAAGTCGCCCATGTATGCGTCGCCGAGCGTCCAGAAGCTCAAGAGCAACCTCCAGCACAAGCGCGGGATCAAGCAAACCAAGCAGCGGTCCTACTCGGGTGGCAACTACGGCGCGATCGCGCAGGACGCTCATGTCTAAGGTCCTTTGCGACCAAAGGAATATACCATTCTGGTCACATCCGCGCCAAACCACCTTGCCTTGTTAGCTTGTCCACAAGCTTGCTCGATTCTTTCGATCATCCGCTGGCTAACATAGCCGGGGTGCAATAGCAGGCTTCGTTTCAAAGACATGGACTCTGCGGGAGGTTATGGACGGCCACCGGCTCAGAGCCGTACGACATCCGTGCGTCGTTGGTCGCATAATCTTCGGAAACGCTTGCGAACAAACAACGGTCGTATGACGATCGACGCATACTGAATACGAGTCCAAGATATCTTTGGTGCCAAGATCAGTGGCCAATCGGGTTTGTACCAGAAAGAAGAATGGGCTTGCGGGAGCTCATGCTCGAGTCGAAGCTCGTGCTTGCCGTCGTCGCCCTCGTCTTGGCGCGATGCATCGACCGCGTCCTCAACACGTACGCCGTTATCACGTCTCTGGGTTGCTCATGCGCATGGAGTAGCCGCATCACGTACGAGTACACGCCATTCCTGTGGTTTTTCGCCAACATCATTTGCCCCGTCTCGTTCCTCGCCATCTCGTGGCCCATCGTGATCTACAAGCTCCGTAAAACAGGTGCAGTTCGATTCGTGCCATCTCCTCGTGGAGAAGCTGGTCTCATGCGGTCATTCTAGAGGACATTACGCCCGAGATGCGCGCATTTCCCCATTATAAATTTGCGATCATGGCCTTTTTGGACATGGCCAGCAGCTTCCTCGCGACGCTGCCCATACCCCACATTGGGTACAGCATTTTACCGTCGCCATTTATTATCAACATGCTACTAGCGGCAACTTGGCCAATGTGCTCGGACAAGTGACGCTGCCGCTCAACATGCTGCTCTCGATGGTCTTCCTTCAGACGCGCTACGAGCGGTCGCACGTCATTGGAGCCACCATGGTGCTCTACGGCGCGCTCGTGTGCATGATTCCCATCTTCCGCGGCGAAGTGGCCTTGAATTCGCCCGACCCGTCGTTTGGCTGGCTCCTTCTCTACGTGTTTTCGATGGTACCTGCCGCGACCTCCAACGGTACGGCACCTTCGTTCTTTCTACGACTAGCCGACTCGATCTCTCTCTAGTCTACAAGGAGATTGGCTTGAAGGATGTCGATTTGGATATCTGGTACACGAACGCGTGGGTCAGCACGTATCAAGTGTGCTGGGGTATCGCGACGATGTGGACCATTCGGGTATTGCCTCTCCCTTTGCATCGGCAAGTGACTTGGAATGTAGCTGCCCGCGTTCTCCGACCCGGCGATCGACTGGCACGAGTTTCCCGCGTACTTGCAGTCGGCGACACGCTGCTTTTTCGGCAGCAACCTGACCTTTCACGATACGGACATGGCGTGCTCCACCGACATCTTTCCCACGTTTCTCCAGTACATCCTCTTCAACATCGTCTTCAACACGGTAGACAGTCACGTCATTTCTCGTCTCATGACTGCGCACTAGCTTATGATGTACGTCTTCAAGGAGGGCAGCAGCGTGCTCTTCGTCATCTCGTCGGCGGTGTGCCTTCCGCTCACCGACATTTTGTACATGATCCCGTTCATCGCGGGCCCCAAGGCGTCCCAGGCGTTCACCATCTTTGATGGGTTTGCGCTCTTTATCATTGTGGTACGACGACGATTTGACCGTATTGAATCTCGAGAAATCTCACGTATGCGGGACTAGATGGGCATGGTGGTCTACCATTCGCAAAAGGAAAAGCGCGGGAAAGACAACCTGTCGACGTCGCCCATGTACGCCTCGCCGAGCCTTCAGCGCATGCGCTCCAGCATGGAGCACAAGCGTGGCCGAAAGTCAGGCTACAAGAAGCTTCTGCGCACGATGACGCCGACGCGCGCCGCCAAGTCAGCCACGTACGGCGCCACCGACACGGTCGTGTAGCTACGTTGTAAGACTTCGGGAACGATCGCGCGGTTCGCGATCTTTCCTTTGGAGGCTCATGATGACAGTGATCTAATTGCACGCAACATTGCAGCATCTTTGCCCAAAATAGGCGGCATAGTGTGGTTACGAGCAGATCGAAAATATTTATATACTACGTTGGGGTGTCCCGCTATCATGCCCGGGACGATGATGTGTGCGAATGGCCGAAGACGTCGCGCCATCAGGCGGGAGCGGCCGAGCGGGTAGCGGTACAGCTTCCGTAGCTCCACGTAGAGTGGCGTGCGTATAGACAACCTCGGATCGGCTGGCGCGACATGACGTTCGCGACTCATCGCGATCGCGTATCCGGATGCACTTCAGAATGGCCGCGATGCACGCATTTGGTTTCTGTATAGTATACAAAACCGTATATACGAGGAGGACACGAGGGAAACACCTCAGTTTGCCTTTTGACGCGTTCAACCAACTTCCCATAAACCATGTCTGCCCTCGTCCTCATCGAAAGCGAAGAGCACTTTGCCAAGCTCATTGACGCTGAGAACGTGACCGTCGTCATGTTCAGCGCGCCGTGGTGCGGCAACTGCAAGCTCGTGCACTCGAAGCTCGTCAAGCTCGCCAAGGAGCTCACGGACGTGACGTTCGCCAAGTTCGACACGACGCAGTTCGAAGAGCTCGCGATGGACCTCAACGTCTCGGCGCTCCCGACCTTTAATATCTACAAGTCGGGTGCGATCCTCAAGGACTACACGGGCTCCAAGTGGGAAAAGGTACACCGACCTTGTGCTAGTCTTGACGCTTTTTGCTCACCATTGCCCATGTCTAGATTGACGAGCTTATCCGCGCCGCCCTCATCTAAGCGTCGTAGACTCTATCCGCGCTTGTCAGCTTTTCTTATATATATCCTCAACGACCCCAAACGTGATTTCTTTTCTCATTTCTTATCCACGAATCTAAAAGCGGAAGGCCTCCACGACAAAGTGGCGCAGGATGACGTGGACCTCGAAATGCACCTGGGACTTGTGAAAAGAGGCCAGTTCACGCTGCTACTACGCACCTGGCCTGACGCGATGGTGCGCAGTCGGCATCGATCCGCCCACGCGCTGTTGAACACGACATCGTCGCCGAGGAGCTCTGTCGTTTGACCCAGAAAGAGTGCTAGATTCATCTTGTGTGAAGATGCTTTGGAGAGCCGAGCCACCTACCTGCCAACTCTTGGTGCTCCGAGCCCAAGGGACGCCAGAGTCCAATCGTCACGAGGTGGTGCCCCGGCGACGACGGCACGTGGGCAAAGCCGTACCCGCAGACGTGTGCACTGCCATGCTCGTCAACGGTCCACACTTGCACGAGCAGTCGCGGCCAGCCCTACACGAAACAGTAGTACTCGTATTGCTATGCATTCAATAGGATGTATCTACCTGCATCGAGTATGTTGTCCAGAGTACGTCGATGGGATGGGCCCAAATAACCTCGTCGCCGACGCTCGGCGTGTCGACGTGGGTTTGGCCAACTTCTTTGCCGCACACGTGTTGCCACGCCTCCCCATAGTCGACACGCCACTTGCATACGTAGCTGGCGCCAGTGTCAAAGCCCGAGCCACCGACAAGATCGCCGAGAAGGTGCACTTCGGGCTGGTTCTGCGGCGTGGCTTTGCGGAGGCCCGCGGAGCCTGCGTCTTTGCGCGCGCGGTGCAGCGGCTGGCGCTCCACCTCGGCCAGTTTCGTGCTGCTACAGTCATATTGAAGTTCCTGAAGAAGGACCCGCGCCTCGTACGTCGTCAAAGCCGCACTCGCTGATGGCGTGGTGCTACGGGATTAATTCAAGTCGCCTGCGTCGAGTGATATACTGGCTCGTGTACGCTGGATCGCTCTCGGCGTGTGTGATTGGCATATGTAACCTAGTAGGAGCAGCGGTAACATAACGTTAGCACATTTTGTCATAGCAGGTGTACGCTGACGGCAACGGAGCCTCGTCTCGGGCAGCTACGGTCCGATGATGACGGCGCAAATATCAAGTCGATCGGCTTGTACCGCTCGCATCGGCGGTCGGGGCGTGGTCACTGGAACAGAAATGCATGATCTACAGTACCTCTTCAACGATTACCGACGTACCTCGGAGCGTCTTTCTTGCCAAAGAGCAAGTTGCGAAACGACTTGCTTGACGGGCTACGCCGATCGCTGTGGCGACCTTTTTACGCTCACGACCCAACCTGTTGCGTTGCAGCCGCGGCGGCGATGTGTTCTCGCCGTCTTGTGCGCTCGGAGATTGTTTGATTTCGCTACTAGTAGAGCACGTCGACTCGGTAACGTATACACAGAGTACGAACGCGGCGCCAATATCGTCTTTGCCCGAGCTCTCGTCCTTGGACGACGCCTTCCTACGATCCCACAGTCGATTTTAAAGATCCCAAATTCGTAGCGATGCCATACTCGTGGTGCTTGGACGGCGACCGCTTCGGAACGAGGTCCCGGAACGACTTGCGCGACTTCAGTGTCGGTCGTCTAGACAACTGGGGTCAATGCAGCAGGGTTGGTGCACGAAGCCAGAGACGCATCAGTCTCATTGGAGATGGACTCAGCTGCGGCCAAGGGCAGGGGCGCCTTCCCGGCGTCGCCGCCCAGCTTCCGCAAGGACCGCTTCATGGGCCCAATCTTCTTCTGGCGACGGTTCCAAATGACGAAGACACTGTTCCAAACACTGTATTGAAGCGTTTTACGGTCTCTCGCATCATTTGCGAAGACGCGCAAACTGCGCAAAGAGCTCTTTGGCAACGGCGTCGTTGAGCATGTCGTCACGCGTTGGCGCGCGCTCGTGTGTCGCTTCGAACACCGCCTTCCACGCCTCCAGCTCGGCTTGGACACGGCGGAGCTTGTCGGTGCGGGTTTCTGGCGGTGGTAGCGCGGCTGGCGCCTCGTCCAACAGCGGCTGGCATAGAACGCTCATGACAGCCCGCTTTGTGATCTCGCCAGCCTCCGATTTTGCCACCTACAGCACAAGACGATGAGGCACACGTAAACACTGCAGCCCGCAGTACCTTTAAAAGGGTTTGCTCGGCGCCAGCGTAGCCCAAGGCAACTACAAGACCACCGTTCGGGTTGAGTTGGCTCGCGAGCGCGTCCACGTGGTCCATGCTCTCGACAGCAACGCCAATATGGATGCAGTCATATGTGACGCCTGGTGTCAAAATCGACTTGCCCGAGCTCGCTTTCCACGTAATTGTCGAAGGCAGCTTGGCCTTGGCGACGTTGCGCTGCGAAAGCTCGAGGAGCGACGGCACAATGTCGACGCCCGTGACATGCCCGCTGTCACCGACGAGGAGCGCCATCGCCGCTGTGAGGTAGCCCGACCCACATCCGACGTCAATCGCGGCATGCCCTGGCTGGAGATGCGGCTCGAGCAGCTCAATGACCTACGCAATTCAATATGAGTGGCGCTAAAGCGTAGCGAGCCTGTGTAGGCGGTACCTGCGCATGCTGCTGCGGCGTCGAAATCGTGGCGATCGTCCCGATCTTGAGTGGTCGGTTCGCGTACGTGTCTTCAGGTGGTGACGGGTGCAGCGTAAAGTCGCCGCGGTCCAGCTTCCGGAAGACGTCTTGCACGCGCGGCGTCGTGAGCACACCGGCCTTGACTAGGCTCTCGACCAAGCTCGCTTGCGACGTGCCACCGATCGAGTGGCCCATGTTCATGCTGTCTCAAGCCGCTGAGCCCACCGTCGACGCAAGCAGCAGCGTGGTCATACCTGATCAAGAGATCGTCCGACATGCCGTTGAGCACAGAGAACGACCGACGAACCGTGCCTCGCAGCGCATAGATGTGGCGAGTCCCGAGCATGCTGCGGATGACGATGGTCCAAGACGAGCGATTCGCAATGGCTCGGCACGGAAATAGTGTACGATATGCAAATGCGACTGAAATAGTGTACTTAAGGGAGCTTCGATGATTGGTCATTGCAAATCTCTAGAAGCATATTGATTGGATATTGCGCTTACACTAGCAAATACTCCACCAATCATACGGCGTGTTTTCGGTCAGATCGGCGGCCCTCCAGCTGGTCAAGGCCGTCAAGCAGTCTTGCAGCGTCGCGCTATCCAATCGACCTCCCGACCGAATTATGGAGATGGCATATGTCGCCTTATCTTGGAGTAGCCGACACTCTAGGTCTAGCGCTGCACATACATGTATATGTAGGTGGAGGTCGTCGTTCATCGGCAGCGCCAGCACTCCTTGCCCCTCCCGGCGCCCGCGCTGCTCCTGCCTGCACTTCCAGTCCGCACTCTTTCAGCCACGCTCCTCTGAGCGGCCTCCGCTTCTCTCGTTCATGCGCCAAGCGTTCTCTTCCGTGCGCTGCGTTTTCACTCCCGCTCAAAGCGGCCTGGTGCGCGCTGTCAGCCAATCCGTAGCGATAGCGATAGCTATAGATTCAACTCCTATTGCAGCACATCGTTAAGCACACTGCTGAAATATGAGAAAGGTCGGTTATAACGCGTTTAGCTATAGCTATGGCGGCGGCGCGTTGGAGATGCTCTAACAGTACTATATACTAGTATCGGGTTGCTCTGAGCTCCTAAAATCGACTAATATATAACATTTTGCAACAGACTTGCCATCAATGGACGTCCGCCTTGCAGCCACGCGTAGCGAGTAGAGGCTGTGACGCTGTGACGTGTTCATGCGACCGAGTGCAAGGACATGCGCAGCCCATTGCATTCGAAAGACCTAAATGCACGCACATCAAGGGTCGCTGCAGAGCCCTTTGCCCACCTCGCAAAGGATACGTTCATTCTGGCGCCTCCACCAACTTGAAAGCGAGCTTGTCGCGTCGAGGCAACCCACTCATGATCACGGCCTTCGCCGGACTTCAATGTCTACTTGCGTGTGATTAGACGCTTTTGGTCGCTTGGGCCAAGATTTGGATCACCGACGCTTGCATCTGGCGCTCATCATTGCGTTGATGTACGTCATTTGTATAGGTTTTAGTATACCGGGCATGATGAGTGCGTAGAGCGTCGGGGCCTCATCACACACGCTCTTGTACGATACCATGGGTTGCGTGTGATTAGTCCCCTGTCTAGCATCCGGATACTGTTGATGAGCGACCGGACGCGAGCGACGTAATCACGGCTCGTAGAAAGCGGCCGGCCAGTCCATTTCCGCATTCGCCATGCACCAGCGCAAGCAGACGACCAGCGCGGCCGCTGCGCCGGCCGCGAGCCCCGGGCCCGCGAAGAAGGCCTTTATCTACGAGTTTGGCGGCCCACTTGGCGCCGTCTTCATCATGCTCATCCTGCCCGCGGTCGTCGTCTTCCTCGTCCGCGGCTGCAACGCGTCGTACTGCGTCGACAACCGCTTTGACTTTGCAGAGCTCTACACGCAGGTGACGGCGCCGATCGTCGCGTCCGACTTTGTCAACACCAATGCGATCGCGGTCGTCTTTGGCTGGTTTGGCTTCCAAGTGCTCCTCGAGCGGCTCGTGCCCGGCTCGTACCACGACGGCGTGCTCCTCCCGACCAAGAACCGCCTCACGTACAAGGTCAACGGGCACGTGTGCTTTTGGCTCTCGATGGCGGCAGCGGCGGCGCTCCATATCTACGTCACGCCGCTCTCGTATGTGTACGACCACTACCTCCAGCTCGCGGTGGGCTCGATGCTCCTCTCGGGCGCCATTAGCGTCTTTGTCTACCTCTTCTCATTCCGCGCACACGACGTGCTCTGCGCCGAGCAAGGGTCGTCGCCGTCGCACGTCTTCAACTTTTTCATCGGTCGCGAGCTCAACCCGCGCAGCGCGCTCACGCAGACGTTCGACCTCAAGTACTTCTGCGAGCTCCGCCCGGGCTTGATTGGCTGGGCCGTCCTCAACCTCGGCTTGCTCGCCAAGCAGCTGGAGCTGCATGGCGAAGTCACGCTCTCGATGGCCAGCGTCGTCTTCTTTCAAAACCTCTACGTCTGGGACGCGCTCTTCCACGAAAAGGTATGCATATTTCTATCAATATTGTATCAACAATTCGCTCTCCCAGTGCGTCCTGACGACAATGGACATTACGACCGACGGGTTTGGCTACATGCTCGCGTTTGGCGACATGATGTGGGTGCCCTACACGTACACGCTGCAGGCGCGCTACCTCGTGGACCGTGACCCGCACTTGAGCGCCGTGAGCCTCGCCGTCATCATTGCGCTCAACATCCTCGGGTACGCCATCTTCCGCGGCGCCAACGCGCAAAAGGACGCGTTCCGCACCAACCCGAACGGGCCAAGCGTCGCGCACCTCAAGTTCCTTTCGACCAAGCGCGGCACGAAGCTGCTCATCTCGGGCTGGTGGGGCATGGCCCGCAAGATCAACTACACGGGCGACTGGTGCATGGGCCTGGTACACTCGAAGTGTCTCCATCTCAAACGCTCATGCGAACGTAGGCGTGGTGCGCCTACTGCGGCCATTCGACGCTGCTCGTGTATTTTTACGCGATTTACTTTGCCATTTTGCTCGTCCACCGCGCCTTCCGCGACGACGCCGCGTGCCATGAAAAGTACGGCGACGACTGGACCAAGTACAAGGCGCACGTCAAGGCCATCTTCATCCCCGGCGTGCTCTAAGAGTCCTTCTCAAAGCGCAAATAGAGCTCTTTGGCGACGAGCCACCCGAGGATTTCGTGGTGGGTCTCACTCGGGAGGTATGGGCCGAGGACCCGGATCGCATCCAGATACAGTGCCTTGGACCATGGGCACTTGTGGATGCTGCGGTAGAGGACCTTGGTCGCGCGGTCGACGCAGCCGACGTGCACTTCGAAGCGGAGGTAGAGCCGCCACAGCACAGCACACCTATCGATGTTGCTACAACTTGGAGTCAAGAAGGAAGGAGAGGAATACCCTTCGCTGCGCCAACTGGCGTGGGATAGGCTATCTTCGAAGACTTTGCGAATGCGCTGGATGGCGACGGCGCCCCATGCGTGACGCGCGCAGCACGCCGCGTCGCTCGGCCCCGCACGGTAGAGCTCTGCGAGCAGCGCGACGAGCCAGAGCTATGAGTCTCAACATGAAATATTGTCGACCAGCGAGACGAACGATACCTGGGGCGAGGGTGCGTCGAACTGCTTCTGCGCGGCCTGCACCGCGCCTTGGACGAACCGCCGCACTTGCTGAGCCATCGTATTCTTCTTCTCGGCGTCCACAAACAGCGCGGCAAACACCGACTGCGATTGCACCTAATATATCGCCATCGCTCTCACTCCGTGTCAGAGCATGCGTACGGTCGAGACGGCCAAGTGGGTGCCCACACGCCACTGCTTGGGCGAGGCGCCGGTCCGGAGGAGCAGGTCCAAGCCCGCAGCGAGGAACCACTGGCGTGCGACATCAACGACGGTCGTCGAGTTATGCCATCGACCCAAGCGCGAGGCAGTGTCGAGAGCGTCGACCGAAGTGCGGAGACGCGTCAAGAGGAGTTCGCACGCGCACCCACCGAGCACAAACTCCACCAGCAGCGCATGGTAGAGACACACGGCGGTGATGGGCACACTGACAGTCGCCTGGGTCTCAGTACCCAGCGCATCCAAGGCGGCTTGGACGTCTCGCTGCGTGCTTTGATGCAAACGGACCTGCATCGTCGGCGTCAGGAGCGCGCTTGGAGGTGCCTTTTGCTTCTTGAGCCGCTTGCAGGCTCTGGCGAGCGACTCGACTCTATGATAACATGTTCAACACCAGCACCAAGTCATTAATCGACGTACGTAGGGTCGTAGATGGCGTAGAGAAGGTAGAGACACCGCCACAAACAGCCGACATTGTCGTCCGCTTGGTTGAGCTCGAAGCGAACGCGCCAGTACGCAAAGCGGTGCGTCTCGAGCGAGTTGGCGGCGGACGCCGATGCCTTTTCGCAGATGCGGCTCGTCATCTTGTCATTGCCAAACCGCCACTCCATGCACGCATAGCGCTCGTAAAGCAAAAGCGACGACGGCTCGGCCGAGAGCACATGTTTGGCAAAGGTGCGCGCCGGCTCGTGCTCGCCGAGGTGCATGCCGACATGCGTCTCGAGGTCGAGCGCCAGACCGAGGCACTCGACCCGCTGCAGCTGCGCGTAGCCCTGCAGAAGAAGGCGCCGCGCCCACGCGAGCTTGGACGGATCCAAGAGCGTATCGCGAGCCACGACGATGCTGTCGTGGAGGAGCGAGTCCAGCATCCTGCGCGGTTCGATCGCCGGTGCGTCGCTTTGGAAAAAGGCGTCGCAGAGATTTTCGAGTCCGTCTGTATCCAGCGCATCCGCGTACATGTACTCGGGGGTGCTGTATCTCGGTCGGATGCCGACCTCGGCGACGAGCGCAAGGAAGAGGTTCATGTGCACACGCGGCTGGACTGTAAAGAGGAAGGGCTGGATCTCGTCGAAGAGCAAGACACGGTCGGGCTGCTCGTCGATCCTAGAGCAGTCCGTGAGCATGGTCATAGAATGCGCTTGGCGAAAAGGGACGTACAGTGGGGCGTCGGCGGGGTCGTTTGGACGCAGCGGGCGCCACTGCGTCGCCATGAGCAAGTCCTCTTCGAGCAGCAAAGATGCATGCTCGTTGTCGTCCTGGAGCCGATCAAACGCGAGGCGTTCGTCCACGTCGTTCGCGGATGTTTTTGCCTTCTTCTTCGTGATGGCTACATCGTCGACCTCGGGCTGGTTGGACCGAAGCTCGCGCAAGATGCGCTCGTACTCGGCGGCGTCTTCGGCGTCCTTGATATGCACGCGGTGGCCGTGAATGTTGCTCCACACATAGCCTTCGTCTTGGCCGTTGTCCCCTTCGTGCTTGGAAAAATGCTCGTCCGAAAAGGCGTCGACTCCGCGGGCCTCGGAGCTCTCGGGCTGGTGGTGTGGCAGCCCGCGCAAGTGCAGAGGCGGCTGCGACGCTTCCAGCGACCGCTCACTGCGCTCTTGGACGCTTGCGATAAACGTCTCCATGGACGGCAGCGTCGTCGACAACGGTGGCACCTAAGAACGCCGTTATATAACAACACTATGCGACATGCGTACGTCGCCGGCATCCACCCCGCGCTCGCCCCACGACGAGCCATGCTGCTCCCAGTACGCTCCAAACTCGGTCATTGCATGTGGCGACCGGCAGCTCACGTTGAGCTCGAGGAGTGCTTGGAGGAGCCCAATGCTGCGCTCGACGTACCCGCTCTGCGCCTCCATGCGGCAGAGAAGCGTCGCAAAATGCACAAGCGTCGCGTCGCGCACGTCCGAGGATGCCGACCGCCTACAACGGCAGTTGCCATGATACTACAGACCATCGGGAAACAATGGGTAGTACATTTGAACCGACTGGATCATGCGGGCAAAGAGGTCGCGCAGCGCCGCGACAGAGAAGGCGCCAAACTGCATCTGCTTGCGCTGGAGCAAGTGCAGCCACGCGTCAGCGTGCTCGGGGTGCGCCAAGACGCTGCGCTCGAGCTCGGCGAGGATGTCGGCTTCGTCCGAGCGCTGCATGCAGAGAAACCACTGCAACTGCACAAGCGCGTCCGACGTCGGGTTGGCTAGCATCGCACGCGACCAGATCGCGACTTGCTTTTCGAGAAGAAGCGCGCGCTGCTTGGCCTTGGATTTCATGTCGCCGAGCGCGTCGGCTTGCACGTGCATGTAGGCGAGCCAGAGGTCGACGTTGGACGGGTCCTGGCGCAGCGCCGCGTTGAAGTGCTTGTTCTGCGCCACGACACGCGCCTCGCGCCGCTGGCTCTCGAGCTCTGCGTCCTCGTCGCGGATCGGCGTATACGGCTCGAGCGCAAGGAAGGGCGCGCCGTCGTCGTCGGTTGCTCGTTCGCCACGCTCGGTCGGGAGGTGCAGCGACAGCGCCGAGACCTTGTGCTTGGCGTCAAAGTAGCGCAATGACGCTTCGTCGTCCGCCTCGCGCTTGCGCTTGAAGAGATGGTACCTAGGCAAGAGAGAACGCTCGATGGACACGAAAACAAGCACATCGTACCGGGGCACGTCGGTCGCGTTGAGCGTGCCGTAAAAGAGATTGTCCTTGTCCTTGCCGTGATCGATTTCGTAGAGCTTGTCGACCTTGGAAGGAGGAGCGATCGGCCGCTTATGCGCAAGCGCCCGCGGCTCCTCGGCGCGACGCGCAGGCTTGGGCAGCGCGATGGGACCAGTGGGCTGGCGCGACGGGGCCACGGGCGTGAACCCTTCGTTCGTATCATCGTCGTCTTCGCCGGCCTTGTAGCTCTTGCCCACATTAAGCCATGCTACGTATTCGACCCACATGAGGCCATGCCCGGCTCTTTGATGCCCACCTATCGCCTGAGCCTCTGTCGGCGCTGCCGGCTGCGTTGCGCGGCCTGCCGAAAACATCTCTCGTGGTCGTCCGGAAATTAACCGGACGCGATGCCAAGATCCAAGTTATGCCCCGGGGTACGCGAACGGTCGCTCATCTTGGATCCAACATTCATTGTGTGGCAAGTTGCACGGTCGAGGCTACGATCGTAGCAAAGGAGCGCAGTGGCCTCGTCATCGCAGGCTCTTGTTGGCAGGAGACAGAGTACTTCAATTCTCTGAAATGAAACGACGACCCAGCGCGATCGGACCAATCGCGCGGATCGAAACCGAAGATGCGAAACACTGCCAAAACATTGTTGAAATTGAGTTTGAGAGTCTGGATGGTGTCGGCGCGCTATTAGCCAGGGTGAACGAGCGATCGACCAATATATATACTGCAGTAGTATGAGCGTGGATGGCAATATATATACTCTCGACCAAGGCGCAATACCGATGATGGTATAAATGTTCTCGTCACTATTGCATATGTTGCGCATAACGACCGGGCGAGATGCAGCTCTGTCCATCGTCCGTCCGGTCGGGTCGCCCCTTGAATGGTGTGCCAGTCGTGAGCGAGTTCGAACCCAACGCGCGTCTTGTTCTTTTGCGGTTGGAAAAAGCGCGTTGGGCCACCGCCTCCCAACGGCAACGACCGACCTCTGCAACCCTTGATCTGCACAATCAAATTGACTACATGAAGATTTCCGCTCTCCTCACTTGCCTCGCGCTGGCGTTTGCGCCGACCGCGTCTGCTGCTTGCTGCTCGGTTTGCACGAGCCGAGTGGCTGCCAGCATTTGCTCCAACAGCGACAAGACGAACCGGGTCGCTCGGTTCCCAAGCAAGTGGACCGTGCCGTACCCGTCCAAGCTCGTGTCGAGTACGCTGTCGCACGTGGCCAACTTTTCGACGACGGGCGATTTTCGCGTCATCAACAGGGGCACAAACAAGGTGACGTGGACGGCCAACTCGGGCTTCAGTGACCCGGACGAAGCCGAGTTTGCGGGCCAAGTGCTGCAGATCTTGAACACGGGGCAGGTCGTCGTCTACGACGCGAGCGAAGGCATTGCGTCGTGGATCCCCGATATGTTTCCCGTCGACCAAAAGGACTTTTGCGCCATCATGCAGGACGACGGCAATTTTGTCATCTACGACCCGAGCTGCCGGCCTGTGTGGGCCTCCAACACGTATGGCAAGTAGGCATTCAAACATAACCTTAACGCACGCTAGCTCCATTCCCTACGTTACCGAACGCATAGGAAAAATTGGTCAAGCACCAGGGTTGCCGAATCGTTGTGGTTGTTGCTGCTGCGGTTGTTGCTGCTGCGGTTGTTGCGGCTGTTGTTGCTGCTGTTGCTGAAGCAGTTGGTGTTGGTAGTGGAGTGCTGTTTGGTGCTGACCAGGTTGAGATACTGGCTGCGAGTGCGGATGGTGTCCGCGCTGGTGCTGCGCGTACTGCGCCTGGCGCTGCTGCAGTTGTTGCTGGGGGTACGGAGCATGCTGTGCGTACTGGTGCTGCGGTGGGCCTTGCTTGGGCGCTGGGTGCTTTGGAGATTGTTTTCTCGATGCCGGCTGCTTGTGCGCTGGGTGCTTTGACGGGGCCGGCTTTTGCAAAGCTTGCTGCTGATTCGGATGCTGCTGATGGTACTGTTGTTGTTGGAGCGAATGGTGTTGTTGCTGTTGCTGCTGCTGTTGCTGCTGCTGTTTGTGCAGCTGTTGTTGCTGTTGGCGCTGTTCTTGTTCTTGGTGTTGGAGGTTCTGCGGCGACCCCGTCGTGAGCCGCGCTTTCTCATACAAGCGATAGCGTAGGCACTCGCGCTGGAAGCGCTCGAGGTCCTGCATAGCAAGTTGCTGGCACTTGGCCAAAACGGCGGGCGATGCACCCTGGAAGAGCTGCTGCAGAACGTGGATATCGGTCACTGTGCGCTCGACGTAGAGGTCCTTGAAATAGTCAAACGCGCCGGACGCAGGCACGGGCCGCGGCGGCACCTGAGGCGGCAGCGACAACAGCTGCTTCACAGGCATCGTGCTCTTCTGCGCGGCAAATGTCTCGAGCTTGCGACGCTTGAGGAACTGCTCTGCGACCACATGCAGGGGCCCATAGCTGCCCTTGGCCTCCTCTGTCTCAGCCCGGGGTCGCTTCTCGTACCCGTTGGGGTGGTACGTCGGGTACAAGCGCAGCGGCTCGGCGTCCGGCGTCGGTTTGGCGGGCTTGGGCGACGGCGTCACACGGGGCTTGGCGCCCACGGTCTCGAAGAGGCCCTTGGTTTGCATCGTCGGCTGGATCTTCTCGGTCTTGTCGTTGAGCTTGAAAGCTACAGAGTCGTCCATGGATGAAAACCTGTCGAGTCAAAGAGGCGGGACCTGCGCGCTTGTTCTCCAAGATCTCGGCCGTTGCGCCGAGGTCCTCGACGTCCGAGTCGGGCGCGAGCGCATCGTCGTCGCTGTCAGATGCGGCGCCGGAGAGGTCCATTCCATGCGCCGGCGCGTCTTCGTACGCAAGAAACTTCCAGAGCTCTTGGCAAGCGCTAATGCAAGGACGTGAGACCTTATGATGGGGTCGGACGGTACCGAGGCCGCCACTGCAACTTGTGCTTGGACGCCATCTTGGCCGCGACATCGTCCCAGTTGATGGCAACTACACCGCCAGTATGAGCTATGACACGTCGAAGGTCGAAGGAGGCGCCTGACCTGGCGGCTTGGCGTCGGCCATGCTGCCGCTCAGCTTGGCATTCATTTGGTCGAGGATCTCACTGCACATGAGGTTGGCGTCCGTGACCGTGTACCGCCCGAGGATCTTCTCGCGGCCAAAGTTGGACGACGACTTGCGCAGAAGCGGGTGCGTCGGCGACACGCGCGGCGCGGCCTCGGCCGTTGGCAGCGGAACCTCGGCCGTCGGGACATCGTCGTTGGCACCTACGACGCTGCATGAGAAAGGCCACGTCGCGTGCGAGCCTACCCGCAGTGTCGAGAGGGCTTAGCGACGCGATATGCGCCTCCTTGTTGCTCTCGGGCGCAGCGCTTCGGCGTGTCGTCATCGGCACCGGCGCCGATGGCACGCTTGGGCTTGTGGGCATGGTATTAATGGCGGATGTTTAAAACAGTCGCAATTTGTTTTTTTCGGGGTCCGCTTATTGGTCAAAATGCACATCGCGCGTGCTCGACGACAAAGACAAAGTTGTCGATCGCTCAAACGACAGGTTGTAGTACTGTGTCGGATTATACCGAGATTATACCGAGATTATACTGAGAGCAGCCCTTATGACCGAGCGAGGAGCCAAACATCCTGCGCCGTTGTCGTGGCAAAGAGTAGGATCGCGTTTGAGCTCAACTCTTGGCGATTTGCTGCAACCAAGTGCACAACGAAAAAAAGCAGTATGGGCGCTCGTGGATCGACGACGCACTGCTGCTGGTCGGCAGGCGCCGTTGCGCTAGCGAGCCCACTTGTCGACTGCAAGGACACCTTAGACGAGCAGCCCGTCACTCCGGCATTCGAGCTGCCTGTCATTGTCGCGTCCGAGCTCACGGTGCTCGGTACGATTGGCAATAGAGGTCGTGGGCGCGTCGCACGCGCCGACTTTCGCGGCCGCGCCGTCGCCGTGCGCTTCCTGAACGAAAAGCTGACGGACTCGTTTTGTCGCTACGCACTCCGGGTGCACCGGTACACTTTATCTGTCTAGGACATGACTGTGAGAGCTCATACCTTTGCACGCTTCTTGTAGACTCGAGTCGAGCAACATTGTCGCGCTCGTCGGTGTTATGGACCCACGCTCGTACACGCCATCGCTCGTGACAGAGTTTATGGACGGCGGCACAGTCGAGCAGCTTGTCGAGCGAAAGCACCGTGCGGACGAGGAGCGTAAAGCGCTGGACCCGTCACTCCTGGACGTTGCCATCGCTGTCGCCGACGGGCTCACGGCGCTCCATGGCATCAACTTGGTCTACGAGCACTTCCAACCACGAAACGTGCTCCTCAACAGCAAGGGCGCCATCAAGCTATCGGACGTGACGTCGGCGTTGGATTTCACGTGCGAAATGACCATGTGCACCAACAGAAGCGAGTCGTACTACTGGGCGCCCGAGATCTTGATGCACGAGATCGACGTACCGACCATTGCTGCCAACATCTACTCGCTGGGCATTCTCCTGGTTGAGCTCTCGACACTGGAGACACCGTACATCGAAGCGTACCACAAAGGGCTTTCGCACATCAAAATTCTACTGGCCATCGAAGAGTGCCATTTAACGCCAGCCCTGCGGGACGACTGCCCCGATTGGTACCGTGAGCTCGTGGCTTTATGCTTGTTATCCGACCCAACGCAGCGGCCGACAGCTCGAGACGTCGCTCGTGCGCTTCGAGAGGGTTCCGCTAAGCCATGCGCGTAACCAGTTGTCAGATCCACCACTGTTTTCATAAGTTGAGAAGGTTTTCCACAGTCTATGACTGTTTCATTCGTCGAACAGCGTTGTCATGATATCGTGTGGTGAACGAGTCGTGGTTGAATCCGTAAAATACTTGATGTTTTAGTTTTAGTTTCACATGACAGTGTAGAGATAAAAAAGAGTTTGGCTCAGATGGTGATGCATGTTATACTTCTACATAATTGTCGTTCAGAACAGGTCTGTAAATAACAATCCTCATCGCCAAATGCAAATTACGAAATAGGATAAGAGCTTCATAAACACAGGTGTATGTCTCAACATGACTCGCAAAGGGTAATATGCATTCAGAGTGGTGCATAGGTTGTAATCATTCGCTCTTGGTTCCATAGTAAAATGCAGTAATTATGTATATAGAAAGCCTCATGATGATAACACAGAAATTATGTCTCTTCAGCTGAGTTCAGTGAGTTGTTAGTTTTACTCCTTAGCTTTCCATGCAAATATAAATATATTGAAAAGAGTAGGCTCAGATGGTGATGCATGTTATACTTCCACATGATTGTCGTTCAGAACAGGTCTGTAAATAACAATCCTCATCGCCGAAAAATAAAAGTCAGATATCTAACGGATCTTCTACAGTGCCACATGGGGCTTCTAGAAGGGGAATCCATAGAAGTATCATCAATCTTTTTCACACACAGGAAACAAATAAAATAATGAGCTTCATAAACACAGGTGTATGTCTCAACATGACTCGCAAAGGGTAATATGCATTCAGAGTGGTGCATAGATTTGTAATCATCGCTCATTTTTATATGCAAATGCAAACTACAATCTGTCGATAAAGATGTCAGCAAGACATTGTTGATACGACCGTACATGCAACGGCCGCATCCGTAGGAATCGCTGAATGCTATCGCTTCCGTAAAAAGTACTGGTTCAGTCACAATAAGATCCAACTTTTCAGCGGGATCAAAAATACTGCCGGCGTGGAGTGATGGGAAGCAGGTACTATCCAAAATATGGAAAATGTAGTGTAGTTGAAGGGTCAGACCATTGAAAAAAATATCATCGCGATAACGCGGATCTAGAACACGGACCAATGGAAATAAAAATCATTCCCTTCACTGCTACATATGCAAATTACAATGTGTGTGTTGCTCACATTATGGGTGATAGTGTATATCTTGCCTTCATGGCTAGTTGGTACAAGCCTCAGAGAAGTGTTTTTGCATCATTGCAACACGATAACTAACTAGACGATGTCTGTAGATACTATCGAAGACTCAGTGGTGCAATATAGTGATTCCGGATTGCAGCATTTCCACAGATTAGAATTCAGTAGAGGGAGCTGTTTATCATCGTTGTCTTCGAATATCATACAATGATCAATACGAATGTAGGAGCGAGCTCCTCAAGACACTTGCCTTGAAAGACGCAAAATGCAGAATGAGAACTCCCCGCACCAAGATGGGCAGTCCGGATAATATTATTCTTCTTCGAATCGTATTTAATGATGTATTCTAAAGCGTATACGTTGATCAAGCTATTGTTTAAATAGAAGCACGATTTTGAACGGACGCATTATATTTCTGAACGCTCGGCCCAAGGCAAAGTGGCTGCCACTCGTTTTTAAACGGCATCCGATTGGCCAAAATTCTACAAGTGCAAGTGGCGCTGCTCGAGCCTGCACGCCAGCGCCACGTACACATGCCCCCGCAAGGGTCGGCGTTCCTTTGGTCGGCAAGCGCGAGGCATTGTATTAGCTCATTTATCCTAGAGATAGTCAAGCTTATGGCTTGTGGTACCACCTCTTGGCAGAGCGCTATGCCATGGTGGTGCTCCAGCCAAATCGATGCCGCCACTTGCTCCCGCTCGTGTAGTGTGATGCCGTGTATTGCGGTATTGCTGCCAGTTGTCGCTACATATCGAGCTGCCGTGGGCAACGAGAGGGCCGACTGAGCAACAAACAGTGTGCTCTGTAGTATGGTCGTGTTCATAGCACGCGGATTGCTGCTTATTATTTACTTGGTTTGGTTCTTGACGCCAAGGATGCGCTGGCGGATCTCGTCTTGGTTGCCCAAGTAGTAGCCGCTGAGGGGCGCAATCGCGTCCTTGTGCGGAATCGGCTTCAAGTTGTCGTCCAAGTGGTAGATGAGCGGGATGCCAGTCGGGATGTTGAGGTCTGTGATCTCGTCCTTGGAAATGTTGTCGAGCTCCATGACGAGCGCGCGCAAGCTGTTGCCGTGCGCCGCAATCACAACGTTCTTGCCCGCACGGATGCTCGGTTCGATCTCCTCGCGCCACGTGGGCATGACACGCTCGGCCGTCATCTTGAGCGACTCGCTCAGCGGCAAGTCCTTCGTGTCCAAGCCGCTGTAGCGACGGTCGTGGCCCGGGTAGTACTCGTTGTCCGTCGTGAGCTGCGGCGGCGGAATGTCGTAGCTGCGGCGCCACACAAGCACCTGCTCCTTCCCGTGTTTCTGGACTGTCTCGTTCTTGTCGAGGCCCGTGAGGAGACCGTAGTGACGTTCGTTGAGGCGCCAGCGGTGCTCGACCGGGATGTACATCTGGTTGCTCTCTTCGAGCACATGCCACAAGGTGCGGATCGCGCGCTTGAGGTACGACGTGTACGCGACGTCAAACGTCAGGTTGGCGTCCTTGATGAGCTGGCCCGCGGCCTTGGCCTCTTCGTGGCCCTTGGCACTGAGTGCCACGTCGTACCAGCCCGTGAACTTGTTGAGCTTGTTCCACTCACTCTCGCCGTGGCGGAGGAGCACGAGCGTGTGCTTGCTGCGGCGACCGGCGCGGACGAACTGCATCGTGGCTTCGATCTTTCGTTTCCCAAAATGACCAGTCACTCCCATTCCTTGCCTGAGCTGCCGGTTAAATCCACTGTATCCGTACTGGATTCATCGCGCCGGTTGCGGGCCGGAGCAGACAGCGTCGGTCGGGCGGTCGTGGACGCGGTGCCATGACGCACGACGTGTCGATGTACCCAGAGCCTCTCACAAGAACAAGCTCCTCGCGCTCGGATGCTGCACCACGTTGTCCGTTGCCCGTAGCCACAAGATCGTTCGGTTAGCGGCTTCAAGAATCCAGCGGGAGCCAATCACAGCACACGTTGACGAGCTCCTCTGTTGGTGGTACCATGACGACGAGGGCGATCAGCAGAAATTGTTGTCGTAGAAATGGCGTGCGGCGCCAACAAGTTGTTCCGTGCGCAGGTCAACGTACCAAACGAAGCAAGTCGGACGACCTCTACCGCAGCGAGGCGCAGTCGCGACCGCACAGGGCAGAGTCTCTTTTGCATATATTGAAGCACAAGTTACGTAGTCGATATCTTGGGGGATGCATAGCAGACCGTCTACGAGACGGACACGGGCAGCGCGCTGAGAACGGTGCGGCTGTAGCCCTTGACCTGCAGGTCGAGTTTTTCAAAAGCCTAAGCGCCGTTCGTGTCATGAATCGCAGACTGTGGTCTTTGTTTGCCTCGTCCATCTCCTGCATGCGGCGCTTGAACGCGCTTTCCTCGCGCGACGCCTACGAGTTGTAAGATACTATTACGTTCCTTCGATAGGCGAGAGCACGGTACGTGGCGCTTGAGTTCTTGCGTCGCGTGGCTCGTGGTTTGGGTGTTGTGCTCGATCGAGCAAATTGTCTCGAGAAGGTCTTTGAGCTCGGTCGTCGCCGACGCCAAGGCCTAGTCAACATGAAGCAGTGCGTTGGATACGAATTCTGTGTACGTTGTCGGCAGCCTGGAGCTTCGTCGAATGCTGCATTTTGTACTGCTCGAATTGAGTATTGCGCTGCAGCACAAGCTTGTGCAAGCGCTACAAACATGGTGCGCGTTGGATCAAACTCGTCGGGCGATGCGCTCGTCAACGAACGGCGTGGTGGGCCACCGCTTGCTTGGTTTTGTGGAAAGTGTTTTCAATCTCGTGGTGCTGTGCCTTGATGTTTCTTTTTTCGTTGCGACAGCTCTGGCTCTCGACTTCGGTCTCGTGCATCAAATCCACGGCCGCGTTGGTTTCCTACATATGTGCGTCCTGGCGTTCGTATGGACACGCAAGCACTAGTGACCTGGTCTGCACGGGCGAATGCCTCGTAGATACTGTCGAGCTCGGTTGAACGTGCTTCCAAGAGCGCCAGCTCTTCTTTGGCGGCGTCGACCTTGACGGATATGTCTCCAATGTCCTACATAAGCCCAGATAGATCATTTGTGACGAATGGGCATCGGTGCTGTCTGGACGTACCGCTTTGAACCGAGCGGGAGAGTTGACGATTTTTGTCTCCAGCTTGTTCACAGTGGTCTTGGCCTCCGAAATATCGATGCGCAGCGACGCCTACAAGACGGACCACCGTTCATAAGCTGTGCTGCGACCTGAATGAGCCAAGGGTACGTAGTCATCGCGCAGGTGCCCACATTGGGCCTTGAGTCCAGTATTCTCGTGCCGTACGACAGCTTGGCGCTTGTTCAGCGTGTAGATCTCGACTTCAAGCGCCGAGGATTCATCCATGGCATGTTGGAGCGCTTCCGCTTCCGCACTCTGCTCGCTTCTACGCCGTATCAAATCGTACGCGTGGTCGACATAGCTCGACGAACTGCAGATCTGCAAGCTGCCGTCGCAACGTAGCGTTCTCTTCTTCGGCGGCTTGACGCTCGGCTCGGATCCGGACCTATAACGTTCCTCGGGATCATGGAGAAGAGACAGGCGGCGCTTACAAGCTTGTCTTCGTTCTGACCGACTCGGGCCCAGCGCTCGTAGCGGAACCGAGTAAAGTTGATCAATGCGCTCAAGATGCGACGGTAGCGCTTCAGCGTCGGCTTGTACACGTCGTCCCATCGAAAGTCCCGCAAGCCCGCCGTCGCCAAGAGCCGGGAAATCGTCCGAAAGTAGGTGATCTCGCCCACGGAGCCGCTGTGGAGCTGGACCGTGAGCTCGCTAAGCCCGATCAGCGCTGGCTGGCTCATTTCGTCTCGACCGATGCCCATCGTGTTGCGGATGAACTCTTCGAGGATCTTGCGCAGCTATGGTCGCATGATTGACAGCGCAGGTCCGAGTCGTCGTACCGCGTCGGGCTGGCAGCTGCGAAGGTCGTCCTCCGCGAAGGCGATGTTGAGGCTGCGAAGGCTCGCGACGATCTCATGCAGCTTGAGGATCGGGTACGAGTAGAGCTTCTTCCCCTGCTGCTCTGGGTCCATGTTGCCGCTCGTTCGGATCTTCTTGATGTGAGAACCACCTTTGTGATTGGCTATAATCCGATTGTTTTCTTGATAGTGATTGGTTGAATGGAGTTGCCAAGGTCGTTGATCTTGATGAGCTTCGCGAACCTGGTCTGGCCAGCAACGTGCTGCGCTTCTCGCATGATGCTTTTATCCTCTTGCATCTTGCACGATGGACCCTACGATAAATTGACGCGCTATAGTACATTGAGGGGTCTAGTCACCATTCACTGCACACAAATACATGTATGCACTCCAAGCGATACGTACATTGTCCTTCCCTTTAGCCTTTAGTCCTCCTGCTGATCCGGTGTTGTATCAACAATATGCGAATTCATTGACTCGTCGCTGGCACTGATAGGGCGCTTGCTCTCATCATTACTACGAGCATTGGACTGATAGATGGTTCATCGACAAAAATGGACACGAGCGGCGCCCGACCGTTCTTGCACGTCACGACAATGAGAGAGAACACACTCTGACAAGCGATTACATCGAGTTCGAAGGCGCTTCGATGACGCTTCTTTTGCGCCGTCGCAAAAGCAAGTGGCCTGGCTGCCACCCTGTTTCTCCAAAGCCGGCTAAATTTTAGATCTCACGCCGGATGCTGTGATTGGCTACTGGCTCATGTCCCACATCAATGCCATTGGCGGAAGGCGTCATTTGATCATTCATGGGGCTCCGCCATTCTGCGCCGTGCTGGTCCGACGCTGCCGAGCCCGACGTCGAGAAGGACATCGACACGGACGTGCTGCCACTGTCGCCACTGTATGCGTCGGATGGCTCGATCGACTGCGCCAAGCTTCAGATGCTCGAGACCATCGGCCACGACGCCCATGGCCGCGTCGATCGTGCGCTCTACAAGAGCAAACCCGTGACTGTCCGAACCATCAACAACGTGCCTCGCCCAACGTATCTCGCAAGCATGCGCAAGGCCTATAGGTACCATCAGCGCTGACGCAGCGTCGCTCATGATTGCTAATCGTAGCTTGCGGTCGCCCTACACTGTCGCCGTTCATGGCATCATTGATGCCAACCCGGATCGACCAAAGATTGTGACTGAGTGCGTCGATGGCTACCGCCTCTCACAGTACCTCGCGTACCGAAGCGCCGGCCGGCCAACAGGCTTGAATCCGTCGACGCTCGACATTGCGCTGGCGGTCGCGATGGGTCTGGACATGATCCACGAGCACGGGCTCGTGCACGGCCAGCTCCACCCCAACAAGATCTATGTGACCTCGAACGAAGAGATCAAGCTGTCTGACTTTGGTGGCTCCTTGTACCACGAAGACCCAACGTTTAGTCGCATGTACTTTGAGGGCGAGCCGTACTACTGGGCGCCAGAGCTCTACGAAGACTACCGCAACGAGACCCCAGCCGCCGACATGTATGCGTTTGGCGTTATCTTGTGCTACTTGGACACAGGTGTCCCACCGTTCGGCCCGGACGATAGGTGTCGCAATAGTCTGCTGATGGACATTGTCGATAATGCTTTGCGCCCGGCGCTGCGCCCCGACTGCCCTGATTGGTACCGCAGCCTCGCCCACCAGTGCATGGCCAAGGAACCGGCCGATCGGCCGAGTGCCGCCGACGTGGTAGACCTACTTATTCGACACAACGGCGACGTTGCTTTTCTCGACGACGGGCTCTTCCAGCCGTACTACGCACCGTACCCATGGCTTCGAAAATCCCGCTAATTTACGCTAATTTACCGCCATTTCGTCCTTTATCACACATTTGTTTGCGAATAGACGACAATAGGTGTACACGCGACATTGTGGTATCGTTGGGGGACCGACCGAAAGCACTAGCGCGAATCGTCTTCCCTATTCTGGCGAGCTAGGTGATTCCTATCGGTGCATCACGTCCGAAGCCTTTGTGCATGCCAGTACCGGTACTGCAGCGCAGAGCTTCTCACCCACAGTGTCATCCAAGAGACCAAAGAGGACGCTCGAGTGCAGGGCAAAGTTGTCTGGTGACAAGTTGATGCTGATGTACGACAATATGTGCAGCGCAATCAACAATTGCTGACGTTGAACTGGCTGCGATCCGAGCTTCCATGCAGCGCAGGCGAGAAGCTTCTTGCCCAAGGAGCTGTTCTGTTCGCATGTTCGTCCGACGACAAGAAACCCGTTTTGCTGGACCTACCATACACTGGGCTCTTGGCATCGAGTACTGGTCGTTTGGCTACTCGTAGGCACTAAACGCCACTCGCTAGTAATCGCTTCAAACACTGCAACACACACTCGTGCCGTCGATGATGGGCCGGGAAGCGCTCCAGTTGCGATCTCGGGCGATAAACTTGAAGCTTCCTACCTCGTACGTGGTTGATTACATTTCAACTCGTGCGTTTCGAGTGATAGTTCATGGTTGCACCATCGACGCTCTGGGAAAGGTTCCCTGGAAGACCAAGCGCCGCCTGTACCTTGCCAACACTGCCTTTCCGATACCGCGAACTCCGCCGTTGGCTTTAAAATCGAAGCGCCCCTCTCGCACGCGTCGTCGTGGGTAGGGCTAGGGCAACTTACGTTGTGCACCTTCAACGTTCGGTGAAATAAGATTGCAAAATAAGACGGGCGCCGCGTCGGCGTTGCGCGGGAGCCCATAACGGGGCCATCATGGGTCACGGTGGCTCGTTTATCGCTGCCATCACAATGCGTATGCTCCTTCCCCTCCTTCCACAACAACATTGCACATTGTGGCTCGGAGAGGTATCTTACTTCTAGACCTCAAACATGCGCACGATTGACCTTGACCCACCGTCCAGCGTACTCTGCACTAGCACGTACACGCTTCACGTGCACGATACGGCCGCGTCGTGGTCCATTGACCGTGCCTTTAGCGACTTTGTCGTCCTCCGCACTTGCTTGCTCCAGCTACTGGATGCTCAGGACGCGCTTGTCAGCATGCACTTGCGCGCCCTGCGCTTCCCCCGAAAACTCTTTCACCGCTGGCCGCGCCAATGGCCCAAGCTCTTGGCGTTTGTCCGTGCCGCCAACGCTCTCTGTGGCCATGTCCCTGCGGCCGTTGCAGCCCTCGACGATTTTCTTGGCGCCGACTTTATCTGCGCGCCGGCACCCAAGGCCGCAGCAGCGACGCTGGTCCTCGCACGCTCGAGGCTTCTATCGCTCTCGGAGCTCTACGCCTCGTCGTCGGACGATGAGGAAATCGACGACATTGCATTTGAGCTCGGGCTCTGGGGCTTGACGGCGGCGGATGTGTGCTTGGTGCTCGACGTATTGTTGCGGACGATCGCCAAGGCGCGACTGGGCATTCCAGGCGCCTACTTGATGGCTGGCGGTGCGTTTGAACTGGATGCGGTAGCGTTTGCCCGCCATGTATTGTCGCTCACGGACGTGGCTGCCGTGCAGGCGCTCCTTGCGGTGCGTCCGTGCCTCTTCTGTTCGTTAAAATGAGCTGCGATGGTGTGTAGGACGGTGTGCCCGACTGCCTCGTACGGCTTGCGCACCGGGTGTGGTACTTTGACTCGTAGTTAGCAAAACACCAAGACACGATAAAATGGCCACAAAGTATTATCGTACACTGGGCAAATAAATGAGACAGGACCAACGACTAAACCTACAAAAAGAATCGACTTCCTATAAACAACGACAGCAGCGCAATACAAAACTACTAAAAACTAAATAGTACGGGAGAGAAGCACGGGACGCTAGACGCGCAGGATACCGTCGTCGGTGCATTCGTCGGTGGCCATGGCGAGCGCATGGTAGTGCTCGAGGAGGTACGGGATCATGACGTCGGGCATGTAGTCGTCTGGCAGCGGCGGCAGTGCAAAGAGCGGAGCTGGTTTTGAGTTGGCTGCCGCCGAACCTTTCTTTGGCTGGAGCACGCCCTTGACCTTGAAGGCCGAGATGCGCTCGCGACGGTGGAAGCCCGCGTCCTTCTTCTTCTGGTCTAGCCGGCGCTGGTTCTCGTTGGCCTTGGACCGGTGGTACGTGCACATCTTGTGGAGCGACCCGTTGGGCTTGATGTGGCGGGCATTGTTGCACTTGCCAGTGCGATAGAGGCACGTCTTGTTCACCTTGGGCTTTGGCGCCGCGTCGTAGGCGCGGGCCGTGTAGAAGCACCGGGATGGCGACGCGGACGAGGACGAAGACGAAGCGATAGACGTGTCGTCGTCACCGTAGCTGTCAGCGCGGACCTTGATGGGCATTGTCGTACGGATGCGGATGATGATGGTAGGACTCGGGAAATGCAAAAGTGAAATATCGGATCTCGGGCTGAAACACCCGGATATGGAAATGCGACTCGGCAGCTTTCGAAAGCCGTGCACAGCCTCATGGGAAACTCGCAAGATACCGTCGCAACACTTGCTTCTAGAAGGAATCTCCCGCTATTCATTTCTTGAAGTGCAGTTGCCACGCAGTAGGACACGTCCGTCGTGACGCCGTTGTACCACTGCTGGTCGTGCTTGCAATCTTCGAGCATCCCAGCAAAGCGAGCGACATACAGTCGGGTGCATGCGTGCCTCACGGAAACGTCAGCGTCGTCGCTCTGGACGGCGCGAAGCACAAGCGATGCACCCGACGAAGTCGTGGAGGTTGGTCGATCGATCGTCCGAAAAGGATTCTTCTACTAGTCGTATTTCGTACGGGTTTGCATTTTGTCATCGGCCTCTAAGCCGCTATCAGCTCGCATCGCGGCGTGCAAGCACACATGATAGCGACTACTGGCCCCATCGTGCGACCGCAACCAGAAGCGAGCATAACACACCTGACGACGATGGACGCAAAGACGGACAGCAGCAGCGTGCACATGTGCCGCCTGTCCACGCGCGGTAGTCGACTCCTGGGAGATACGCGGGTGGTGCTTGCATAGAGGGACTTGCCCGCTCGTTGCTTGCGATTGGCTTGCGTTTAGTTGCACAACTTCAACGAAATCCTGTACGTGCACAGAAGGCAATACGCGCCGAGGAAATTTTGCTAGATTCTGCGACCCATATTTAATTCTTTTTATTAATTCGAACGCACCTCGTTTGCACTAGTCTATGGTACGGGTCATCATCATTGCAGGAACGATCGACACGACCGCTGGAAAATCGAAGCGGTATCTCTGAACTACAGTTGAAAAGCGAGTGCAACCCAAGCGGTGTATCCTTCAAGAAACACCGAGGAGTAGCAGGAATACTAGTAGTATGCTCAGGCGGTACGCCTCCTGCTTCAGAAGTGCGCGAGATACCAGCGCCAGATCCACTGCCCACTTCGTTCCATGGACCAGTAGGTGGCAAGTCGGAATGCGATCGATCCATCACAATTCAGCCACCTGTGACGAAAGATGAAAAAGTACTCGGCGCCTGAAACGGCCAGCCGCCGGACGTTGGTTGTCTCGGCGAGGAGGAGCACCACGTTGGGTCCGTGTGTTGAAGTTCCAGATGCCACGACGTCATCGCCGACCGCTGATCTGGCGTACGATGGACGTACCACCTACGCAGGCCGAGCGCAACAACCGGAATTCATAACCTCACGCTTGCCTTCAAGCCTGGCTGTTTCTGCCCGCCCCGTGGGATGCAGCTCTGGCACCACTCGGACGAGGCAGTGCAATCCTACTATTACGTTAGTGCGTTCGATTGCACTGGAGAAAAAGCTTCATTTCAACGGCGCAAAAAGACGGCCTCATTGGCTCCGAAAATAACCAAGTAGGTGGAACTTCGAACCGCGGACGCAGCATGGCCAAGCGGCCCCCCAAGGCCGAGGCGCTGACCTACTGTCGTCAGCTGCGTCCGATCGTAACACCTCGACATGCAATCTCCGCCGAGTTGACTCCTGGCGCAACACGGGCGAAGAAGCTGGGCCCGGCGTGGGACCAAGAACATACATCCTCCCATGATGCCAGGCGTGCGATGGGCAGCGTGCGTGCGTCGCCCGTCGACGCTGTCCTCGAGTCCGTCTTCCCGGACCAGAAGTATCTCTTCCGGTACCGTTCGCTTACGCAAGCAAGGTCGCCTCCTGTTCGCCTCACGCCGCTCTCGTCCCGCCGCGCTCGCTTTCTGACGAATTACTGCCCCGTGGAGCAAGTCCCACTTCAAGAGCCTTGCGACGTCACTGACATTCGACTGCTTCTCAACCCGGACCTTGCTGGCCTCTTTGATCAGGAGCAGCTCCTTCGCGTGCTCGACATGTCCATCGACGAGGTATTTACTCTCGACCAAGCGTGCGGTGCTGCTTCAAAGAGCGTTGTGGCGTACGTCTCGACGTGCTTTAGCCGACTCGTGGCCACAGCCGCGGGTACGCCAGTATGGAACGTATCAGGGTTGCTCACACCCGCCGATGAGCGCACTTACTTGCAGCTGCTCCAAACTCACACCACGACACCGTCTACCGTCTACGACGCTATCTTGAGCCTTGTCGTCTTTCGGACCACATGCGCCAGTGTGTGGCGCCACGACAGGCCGGGTCCAACAAGCCAATCAAAAGCGGCTGTTGCAATGGCCATGGCACTTTTCGAAGCTGTACGCGCTGCCACGTCATATTCTGCTGAGACACGCGTGTAGGCGCACGAAGCTGTGACGCCACGCGAACCGCGACAGGCTCACGCTGCCCAAGGAACATTGGTACGATCGTGATCTCGATGATTTCACGTGATGGATTCGGATCCTGCGAAGGCATCGATCCAGCGGTTGCATACCCCGAGGTGCTTGAAAGCCTGGCCCACCGCTGCGCCGGCAAACAACTTTCAAAAGGAGCTCCATCGCCGCCGCAAGCTTCAAGCACAACTCGATCGCGCTGGTAGTTATTGCATGGATAGTTGCACAGCACCACGGCCATTGCGCGCGTAGTGTGTCATGCCCAAGAGTGGGCGCGCGACCAGTGCTCTGTCCACGCACTCATGGTGGCGACCGCACAGCGTATTCCGTTTGCGGCCCGACGATTCCAGGTTGCCCTCTCCATCCGTGACCTCGTTTCAATTTGACACGACAAGACGATATTTTTGCGTCTGCGCTTTCGGCTGCTCTACGATCGATTTCACCGGTGGCAGGTCCAAGCGCGCTGGGTACAGGTTCAAGACCGCATTCGTCGCTTCTTTATAACGTACGTTTAGCATTGCAACTTATGACTTCAAACCATTGCGACCATAGAAAAGCCTCGCACAAAATAGCTCTCTTGCTCCGAACGCATGTGCGCAATCGTGTCATTTACTACCTCGTTCAGTGGCGCGATCGCTCGGCGCACGAACGATCCGTTGAAGTGCTTGCCGCGCAAGTGACGCTTCAAGCATGGCTGCGCAGTCTCTACGTGCGATGTGCGCTGGCGCGGCACCGTCGGCACGAAGCTGTGCTATACATCCAACGGGTGTGGCGCAATCACTGCGCTCGTCGATTCGCCGTGCGCAAAGCTCGGTACCACAAATATCTCGCGGCGGCGCGGAAAGTCCAGCGCTTCTTCCGCGCATGGCTCTTCCGAACGCGTGATGCCCGGTATCAGAGACGCAACAAGTCGGCGCGACTAGTGACGCGCTGCATTCGAACGGCTGGTGCGCGGCGAACGGCCGGCGACCTTCGCATGGAGAAGCACCGACGCGAGTTTGCTGCGGTGCGACTGCAGTGCTGGTGTCGCCAGCGCCTTGCCAAGGCGGCTCTTGAATTGCGCCGACACTATGTGCACAACCACGCCGCACGGACGCTTCAGAAACTCTTCAAGTGGACGTCGCTTATCTGTGTCATGATGCGGCGCTCGAAGCGTCGAACGGAGCGACTGCACGCAGCAGCGCTCGTCGTACAGCAAGCATATCGGGCCAAGCGCGCACGAGCACGACTCTGGACGCTTCGCGACGAAATCGAAGCACTCTGTCGTCGAACGGCGCTCCGAGAGATGTGGGAGCGAGCGTCTGCCACGGCCATTCAGGAATGGTGGCGTCGACGAAAGCGGGTGTGGGTCCGCGCTGCAGCGGTGCGCCTGCAAGCGTGGTGGCGCCGGCACTTGCTACAGAGGATAGCTCGATCCGGGCAAATATAGTTGCTGTGTCACCTTGTCCTTGGTAGTAGCACTACGAACTGAGTCCCGACGTCGCTACGATGGTAAATATGTCTGTTGATTCAACGTTAACGGTAGAGTTGCTGTGTTGAAGCTGCCCGTTCTCAGTCCACAAGCCGACCATCCGTGCTCTCTGGCCGATCCTGCGCGCTTGCGTTTGGTACAGTCTTCGGCTAGAACGCAACAACCGCGTGTTTCGCACGACATTGACGCCCCTTCCCGCTGCTGCGCTCGCGATCAAAGCCGCTACTATCACGCGACTGCATATCCGACACTTGGCTCGCCGCGCCGTGGTGCCTTCGCTTGCCGAGTCGCTCCACGCCCTACGCGCCGACCCTTGGTGTGCTCGCTACCTCATTCCCAACTCAATCCCGAGCCCCGACCATGCGCCCTCAGCTTGACGTACCGGCCAAACCTCACGAGCGCACTAGGAAGTCCACCATCTTCACTATATAGTTGCATGTTAATAACTCATTTCAACTGGTAGATTCCTGGTGCTTGGAAATGATATGCATTGCTGATGCCGGTACCAGCCCGTTCACAGAAGGAAGATTGGAAGGGGCGCTGTGGGATCTCTGGACCGCATGTGACCAGGCAATGCCCGGTGGTGTCCCTTCGTTCACCTCCCAAAACTTCGACTGCTGCTCGCGATACAACCCGCGACGCCAAGATGAACGTCGCCATACTAGTAGTTCTTGTTCGCTAATGCGGTGGTAGTCGGCGATGGTCCTTGTCTCTGTGCTGCGGCGGCGCGTGGAGGCACGGCCGCCATTCCATGGCGCCAAACCGTTTACGTATCCTTCGTTTCGTCAACCGCCACCGGTGTATGTTACACGCCAGGCCACGCGCGAGTCTCCACCTCAACGTCGGTATTGAGCCAATCAGCGATCGTTTCTGCGTGGCGAACCTGTACAGCGCGCATCCAAAGCACATTGTGCCCCTTCCTTCATTTATCCGGCACCCGGATAATCAACGTCTGGATTCGATTTCGAAGGCTATATCTTCGATCTTCGGGCCGCGGCTTACAAACAAAGAGGTAGCTGCCATGGGTGCGCACGGCAACTTCGAAATCAGGTTTCGAACCGTGAATCATGATGGCCCTTGCCACAACCCAAGCTCAAGCCAGTATGGCCGACGTCTTAGCCCCCGAGCTCCACAAGCGTGTACGCGTCTTCTGTGTAGAGAGCCGACAGCCGTACGTCCTCTGGTGCTGCTGCGAGCGACGGCTCATGCGCGCGTCGTAGGGGTGAGACCGGCTCGCTGCCCAGCCTCTTAAAGGAGGCGTGTGTGATCGGCTCATTCGTGCCCGGCACGTACGTGCTGCCGCGGCGTGGCCAGCCCAATGCCGTCTTTATGGTCGTGGGCGCCATCATGATCTTCCTCGGTGTTGCAGTGTACGCTACCGCCGGCGACTTGCATGAGCTAACGGCCACGTCGCTGACCTTAGATCGTTGCTCGCCGCCGTCGCGCTCGATTATTGGTACAACGACATGCCTGCAGCGTACCTCTCCATCGTGTCCTTGGGCTTTATCGCTCTACTGCTCGTGTCGGTACGTTTTCTTTTGCCGCTGGTGCCGCACATACGAGCTGTTCTCGTAGGTGATCTCGAAACTCCTGAGCGAAATCACCGACTTCTCCACGGCACGGTACGCTGTCCCACGCTGCTCTGCACGTTCTCAGCTCCCCTGTGTAGCAATGCAGACGTCGTAGCATCGCGCATCGCAGCGTTTGATGCGGATGTGGTCGTTGGTATCGGATATGGCTGCGACGTCGTCTCGGAACTCGTCGCGCGGAGCAAGTGGGCGGGTCCGACGGTACGATCTAACGCAGCTCGGAGATTACGTATCGACGCGATTGCTTGTTTAGCTGCTGCTGGCGCCCAGATTTCTGACAACAATGCTGGGCAAGAAGGTGCTGATTCAATCCTGCGGCTGCGCCATGCCCGTGCAAATGTCCGCAAAGGCCGCAAAGATGCTCGTACCCTTCCCAACTCCAGAGTCGGAAACAATGAATAACGTAGGACGACTGCCACGAGCGAAGCTACTCACTCCTCGAAAACACCCACTGCGGCAATAAGCTTTGTGGCTTTGCCTCGGACCGCTTATTGGAATCGGTGCGTTGCCTCGCATGCGTCTCGTCGTTCTTCGCCATCTCACGCGAACGCGTAGATTCTGGCCACTGTGCGCCTTGGCCAGCTTCGACCAGCGCAACAACCGTGAGAACTGCATTGAGTTTCTAAAATATATATCTCGTTGAGTTATATCTCGTTGAGTTATATCTCGTTGAGTTTCGGCAAAGAGTTTGACACCGAAGAGGCGCGTCTTCCAGAAGGCGCCCGTTGGACAATCGGAAATGCACCCCAAGCCCTGGCGCAGGAGTTTCGCCCTTTCTGTGGCTGCAAAGCGGGATACATAGGTAATGCGCTGGACCTTTGGGCCAGGGACTAGCAGTATGCAGCAGCGCCAAACCTGTCGAGAGGAAGGGCTGGCAGAGGCCGCATCTGTGCGTTATCATCACTCTGCCCAGCCCCTCGATCACCATGCACTTTCGGTATTAAAATACGGCACGGCAAATTAAAATAGAGTTTCGGTCGAATTTAAAGCCAGCCAATCCACGCACCGACGCATATTTTTTACAAATGCATACAAACAATCATACAACGATGCATAAAACCACAGCCAATCCGCGAACAGCGACGGTAGTAAAAAACCAACCACTTTCTCACTTCAAGTTTTGCTTCGAAAACAGCAGCGCGCAGACTCTCGCAACGATCGCACCCATGTGTCGCCCCGCCGAAGCCATGGCTGGCCCGTCGGTATTCAGCTACCACGTCGCGCAGCCCTTCCAACACCGCATTCTCCGCCCGCATGACGCCAAGGGCCTTTTCCAGTACGGCGGTCCGAAGCCCACGCCTCCACCGCTCAGCCCCAAGGTCGATGAACTCAACATTGACATTGGCACCTTTGAGGACCTCGTGGCCTACACTCTGGACCACGAGGAGGCCATGGCCTGTGCCAACGATACGGCGTTTGACTCGTCCGAAATGGACATCCTATACAGCTTCCTTGCCGACCAAGAGGCGACGGTGCACGCCGCCCCGATCAGCGTCGAAGACGACGGTGTCATTACGCTGAACCTCCTTGACGACACCGAAGTCGACAAGATCCTTGACAATGAGATGGCCAATGACGCTATCGACAACGTTCAACTCATACCGCCACTCGGCTACGTCGAGCCCGCGATCGAAGCGCGCATCGACACCGAAGACGACATCTCGGGCAAGAATCGCCGCCTCTGCAAGATGGAAGGCTGCCACAAGCGCTCCCGCTCCCATGGCCTCTGCATCGCTCACGGTGGCGGCCGACGCTGCGCCGTCGACGGCTGCAACAAGAGCAGTCAAGGCGGCAATCTCTGCATCAAGCACGGTGGCGGCAAACGCTGCGAAGTCGACGGCTGTGAACGCGCCGCCCAGTCCAACATGCTCTGCAAGGCGCACGGCGGCGGCCCGCGCTGCCTCTTTGAAGGCTGCGACCGCAGCTCGCAGGGCGGTGGCTACTGCCGTTCGCATGGCGGTGGCAAGCGCTGCCTCTTTGAGGGCTGCGACAAGGGCACCCAGCGCGGCGACTTCTGTGCGCTCCACGGCGGGTCGCGTCTCTGCGGCGTGGCTGGTTGCATGCGCAACGACCGTGGCGGTGGCTTTTGCGCGACGCACGGCGGTGGCAAGCGCTGCGCCGAGCCCGGGTGCATGAAGCCGTGCCGCCGCAACAGTCGCTGCTCGGCCCATTGGCGCCAAGCCGACTGACAGTGCGCGCAGTCCTCCCATTGAAGTGGTGCGATCTCGAAGGTTCGAGGCCGCTGCCGATACATGTTTTATTTCGACATTTGTATGCTATATATCGCTGCGAAGGTCCGCTGTGCATGCTGTATACAGTAAGCTCAAACACGACAGTCTACGTCTCTATTTCTCTTCGCCGGAGTACATCAAATTGATTGCGAACTCACTCGAAACGCGTCTCAATGGAACTAAGATTTGGAGCCGACATGTAGACGACGCGTAGTCTGGACAGACAGATGTGCCAAAGAGTCAGCTATGTAAATGTACACTGTTGTCCGTCTGAGACCTCTTTGACAGCTGTGGCGATGTACTTCATGTTGGAACTCCTGCACGTACGTGATTGGCATGACTTCACATGGACTAGAAGCCATCGAGGTATGCAGAATCGTACGCCGTCGTGCATAATACTCGTCTGCACAAGCTGAGCTTCACGATATTCTGATGGGTGTTGATAAACTAAGAGCTGCAGATGTTCGCCGCAAATAGTGCACGGGGTTGCTTCCGCTCGCGAAGCTGTTGAAGATACAATTCAGGCCAATGAGACTGATACCTGTTTTGGATTGGTCGATCTAGACCAATGAACGCGTGCTTCAAGATGCATTCGTTGAAGCTGTCTGGTCCATATAAGAGCGATCGATTCATGACCTCTCGCCCCGCGATTCTTTCGCACACGAGGCGGGACCAAGACCAGGATACATGCAAGTGGCATAAAATCTCCTCGAGGGTGTTGCGGCGCAGGGAGGGGTGCAGAGGGCCGCGTACGCGCTGACGGGACCACATGCACCGCGTCAGGAACGACCGTTTGAGCTGAGATGCGTTCACACTGTTCACGCTTCTCAGCTCAATCGGTCGTACTCTCCTGGTTCTGTGTTAACTTACCAGAACCAGAGCAGGACGAACCGCTGCAACGTTCGCAGACATCTTCGCAAGCAGCTTCGCCTGCCTACTGCGCGGCCGCCATTTTAGCCAATCGCATGCCACGTATCGGTCAACTCTGCGACCGACGCACACTCAAGACGTAGATGTTGATATCCGCAGGCGGCTGCACCCGCTGGCCATGATGTGTCTGCGTGGCACTGGACGCGATCAAGGGGGCTCGTCGATGCGTCTTTTCCACGACGGACGCATCTTCAAGAATAATTCCAGAACCTATTTCTGTGATTCATTTCGCTGTTGTGATGTGGACCCGGTCCATTGGATCCAGGGCGTCTTCAAGCACGTCAGGTCCATTAGCGCTGCCGCGACATGCGTCTGCACCTGCCACATGCGGTGACCCAATTTGGGGTGGTTCCGTGCATGGTGAAGAGCAAACGCATGATTATCAATTGCTCTCGGCACGTAATTGGAGTTGCTCCCTCATCAGATGCTCAGCCTCGCCTTTGCCAGGTCGTCGAAAGACTGGTCGTCGGGACCGCAATGTCCAGTCGGCGTACAGAGACGTGGATGACTGGAGATGAATAAATATCGAAGCGCTGCGATCGGTACAGTCCGCGTCCGACCTCCGACCGCAGCACCACCGCCTTGGCGCCAGTCGGTGCCTTTGCTGCAATTGTTGACGTTATTTTATTGTTTTTCGCACATTTTATTTTATTGCAGCCACTTTCGCCAGGCGCCGTCGCAAGAGGAGGATGTGAGCGTGCGCTACGTTCGAAAAGCCGGGCCAGGCCGACCTATTTTTAGAACAGATTTCGCGCCTTGTGATTGGCCATAAATCGGTATGGGGCCAGTGCGCGGGCACGACTCCGCATTTCAACCAATGAGACGCCGCCGGCTAGGCTGCATAGAAACAGAAGGTGTTAAAATTTGGGCGGTCACTACGAAATCCGCCTCGCGAGCCCCAACCACCAAGCACGATGTGCCGGCCGATCGAGACCGCGCCGCACGGCGGCTTCCCCATGATGAACCCGCAGGCCATGTACCAGGCCACCATGAACAAGAACATGACGCGCTACTCCATGGCACCCAGCCCGGCCATGATGGGCTACCAGAAGCCCCAGCAGTATGAAGTCGTCACGGACAACATGATGTACCCTGGCTACGGCTACGATGCGCAGCCGGTCATGCCCTTCTACCCTTCGCAGGCTATGAACTACGCGCCGGTGCAGGCGCCGGCCCGCGCCTCGCTGTCGCCGCGTGACCCGAACGTCGACATTGGCACTTTTCAGGACCTTCTCGACGTTGCACTCGAAGACGACGTCGAGGATGCGTCCTTTGACGTCAACGAAGGCTTTGACAACTCGGAGATGTCGATCCTGATGAGCTTTCTGAACGAACACGACGCAGCAGCCGACAACCAGTCGCCCGCTACGATGGAAGAAGTGGACGGCGGTGTCTTGACGCTCAACCTCCTCGACGATGGTCCGTTGGAAGCCCTCTTGTCGTCGTCGCTCGATGACGACAGCGACGACATCCTCTCTGATGTCAAGCTAACGCCCCCTTCGGGCTTTGTCGCGCTCAACCAGCCGTCCTTCGACCATAGCACCGAAGACGAAGACTGCCTCTCGGGCAAGAA